CTTTTTCGCTAAGCCAATTTACAGACAACTCATGATCGCCTGACCTTACGTAATTGTAGTGCTCGAAAAAAATATGCTTTTAAAATTGGGTGGTCATTCTCAGAAGCAAAATCTATTTCATCGTTTGTGGCTGATTTGTGGCTCATTTCAGACACAAACCAGCCACAAACGCGTCCTTTTTATGCACTTTGTTTGTGGCGGTAACGTCGTCCTTATTGTGTCCACCCGAAGAACCAGTTTCCGTTTCATTATCCAATTAGCCCGGTGCTCAGCTTGAAGAACGTCTCCCATCCAAGTCATGAGATTCTTACACTTTTTCTTCGTGGTGATCGCTGTTCTGATTGCAAGTGCTGGTCGTGCTTCTGGATCGAAGCTGACGCCTGCTATAAGCTTCAAATACTCCCCCACCAAGAGGTTGCTGAGAGCCGACATTACCAATGGGGAAGAAAGGGTTGTTAACATTCCGGGTTTTGACAAAATCTCAAAAGCACTAACGTCGAGTAAGACTAAGGAACTTCAGAATCGGCTCAAGGCCGACGAGTCTCTCGGGAATGCCTTCAAGACATTAGGTCTCAGCACAATGCCTATCGGTAAAAACAATTTTATCGAAAGGAAAATGGTGGCTAAGCTCCTTTCGAGCAGAAGCTTCCAAGTCTGGTCCCAGCATGCCGCGAAGATTAATAAACAGGACCCTGCAGGCGAGATGCTCACAGCACTCACGAGCGTATTCGGCGAGAAGACGGTGGCGATTATGATCGACTTGGGGAAGCATTCGTGGGGTTCGAGCACTGTCGCCAAGCAATTGGAGAGGGCCCAGTTCGACAAGTGGTATGCCAAAAACTTATATTTAACAGCGGATGATGCTCTGAAGAATGTGCTGAAAGTGAAAAGGAGTGAAATCCATGCCAACCCCCGGGAGAAATTTGTTTGGGAAGCTTACTCGAAGTATATCCTGAACAGAGTGATGAAGTATTAAGTAGCGGCATCGGTCGTAACAATGTCTTCCATCTCCGAATAAAAGCAATGCATTGCTTATATACTACGATGTGCTGACTTCACTTTGTCGTCTGAGAACTATACAAAGTCGGACCTCCGGCCATAAGCAGCTCTGAACATAGGTAACGTAATACTACCTGAATTCCAGAACTTACATCATTGTTAGGCTCTGTTATCGGTACACATTTACTATTTAATAGTAAGGTAAGAAAGGGGCAGTGCGAAGGCTGCTTTTTCGGCTGCGTATACCCGGCCGAAGAATAGAGGCTTCATCCTGCTAGTACAGGTCAAAAGTTGTTTAAGATAAGAGAACGAATCAGTGGACGAAATGTAACAAATTGTTAACTTTCACAGCTTTCGATGGGTTGTCGTCATGTCTGAAGCAGTGCAATGCATAAATTACCAATACCTTGTCCCGTAAACAACAAAGACCTGGTAGAATGGAAATGGTCATCGATGTCGAACAGCTATTTCTCTGGATTTTAAACGATGACCGCAATGCAGGTCAGAATGCGTGTATAATGTATACCCTTCCAGAATCGTTTGAAGCATGTAAGTTTTCTTTTAATATTTTTCGTTATACATGTAGCAAGTAACCTCTATTAACCCTTTCGCGAACCGACTTAGACCCGTATGGTACACAAAACCGGAAGATTTTTTTTGGGGTCAAATTTGGTGCAGGTCAAATCCTGCGCAACTCGCTTTTTGGGTCAAATTTGGATCAACTCTCCTTAACCCTCGCCAAGGGTCAAC